CCCTTCACCCTGGCCAAAAAGGCTAAAATGACCAAAGAAAAAGTGGGAAACAGCTAAACATGAGAGGTTTTTGGACAAAATTGGTGTTTTTTCCATTGATTAAGCACTGCTTCTAGCCAAGAGTGATACCATATATGCTCTATAGCTGCAGAAAAGGCTAACATTGTTATCTTTTTACAAAAAAACCCCAGCTGAACATGAGAGGTTTTTGGACAAAGTGTGTGTTCTCCATTCTTTAAGCACCGGTTCGAGCACTGTTAAGCACCGGCACCGTTTCAAAAGTACCGGTTTGGTACTGGTATCGGATAAAACCTAAACGATACCCATCCCTACTCACGACCACAACCCAGTGTGAGCATTTTCTTCTACAGTACATCGCCAAAGGTCTCTGCGTGAGAAAGAGAGGCAACTTGGCAAAGGGTCAATCTTTTTCACCCCGCTCAAGAAAACAATAAAGATCTCATCTTTGACACATTCACTGCTCTTTAAGCTGTGACTCAAACTCAGTATCTGATTTTGTCATCACGTGCTTGAAACTACTACGCGAAAACTGGGATCAGGCACTGAGGACTCAACGTGTGTTTATGTGCACAAACAAAAAGCATGCATTCCACATCAACATCAAACTCTTAGTTTAAAGCATCTGGGAATAAATATTGAATCATTGCTTAAGATCAAATACCGTTATGACTGTTAACCTGCAAAGTTTCTGATCCATCAAATGGAAGCAGAAAGTGTAAACACATTACATGCTTCACCAGCTATAAAATATCCACAAACAATGCAGAGCATTTACTTGTCCTAAAAGCACAAAGACTACAAAACAAATCCATAGCTTGGAGTATTTTTTTTTTTAAATCAATCATGCATTTGTAATTTAGGCAAAACAACAAAAATGCACTAATATTTACAGAAGGAATTGACTGAACAGCTCAACAGGATGAGGCAGAACTTCAAATGCATACCTTATCTAAGACTCAGGTTTTGTTAGTAATATCAGAAATTTTGTAATATTAATAATAACTATACACAAGGCAAGATAAAACTGGGGTTCAGGTTTAAGAATGCCTTGGTAAAGTCTGATTGATGGAAATGTTTTATGATAATGGCGACTTTTTAAAAGCTGAAAACACAATGTAAGTGTATTTACTTTCTAATCACAGATGAAAAACAAACAAACAAACAAACTGGTAATTATCTTGCAGAAAAAACTCATCATTAAACTCTCTCAACTCAAAGGCCAATTATTTTTGGTGGACTTACATGTTTGTAGCTGTGCAGCTGTGGTCTAAAGCAGTTGTGTGATCATATCTCAGTTGGGGAGGTGGCAACTTCCCAGGGTGATGTGGGATGTTTGTTAGTGACACGCTGCGGCAGCATAAAAACCACAACACACAGAGAGTCGAGTGTCACACCTGTGAGAGACCGAGATAACAAATTGAATTAGAGTCAATTTATGTAGTTTGTTAGATTTTGTTCGTGCAAACTGCCCTTTTTCAAAATTGAAACTGTCACAATAGAAAACAACACTTCCACATCACAAAACACAGAATTGAAAGCCCTCATCTGGATGATACAGGCACATCACTCTTCTTTATCCCAGTCAACATCTAGTACATGGAGCAGTTTGCAACAATAACTCAGGATTTCGGGGAGGGGGCGTCCTATATATGCATGTTTTCATAGGTCTTTTGTGCTACTGTTTATGTACAGCAAACTTAGAACAAATTAGGTGACAGGAGCTAATATGGTACTCTTTTGCATTAAAACTGAACTCTGCCTGACCTACAACCTTGGCATGCTTCAGATTACCTTTGGTACCCGCTGAGATCAAAGGTCAAAGGAATTTCTGAGTAAGACAAAATGAATGAATCAGAGACAACAGCTAACATTTAGTTTGTTATCACCCTGACAGTTTCTTCTACTAAAGACCAAAAGCTTTATTTACATCTCTTTCTATGCCTGTTACCCGTTACAGATCCATATTCCAGCTACAGATCCGTCATTAGTTTAAAAAAAACAAAAACAAACAAACATTAAATAAGTGAATAATTGTTCCCTACATTTACCAGTTAAGTGGATTGCATGTTGATAACTACCTTATCAATGAATATAGACGTGTAATATATGCATAATAATTCTAACTGGGCAGCAGTTAGCACTGCAGCGAGTGCTTGAGACAAAATAAATAAATATTGCGGGAAAATACACGAAAGACCAAGTCATTCTCCAAACTACGTAACTGCATAGAACTACACACAACATACACAGCACGTTAAGAACGCAGCAGTGTCGCAGGTAATCTGATCAACAACAAATCAAATATTCTATCGATAAAGCCACTAGACGTAACGATACTGCGAAATGTATCACATACTGCTACTACTTAGTATCTACCAGTAACCGGATCATAAAAACGACCCAATTTGTTGCAAAACAACTTTACTCCTCAGCTTTTCCTTTGCTAACCTTCCATGTCGGCGCATCGCCATTTCCACTATGCTCAAGTGACAGCTGCGCACGTAAACTGCGTTTCAGAATACAACTTTGACGGGATTGATATTCTCGAAATGACGTACGTCACATTTCACATGAGCTTCTGCGCCATAGCGCCTTTACTACGCTACCAAGAGAACGTAACTTGTGTCACGAATACGGCCTACGGGGCTACAAACAAACAGCCTAGCAGCTAGCTCGCTAGCATGTTAGCGACATGTAGCTAACGTGCACACTGACAACAGACAGCGCCCGCTGCTACAAAAACGACCTTTACGCGAGCGTTAAAAGGAGAAAGACACAACGCAGAATATGTACAACAACACCAAGTCGCTCGCGCCTAAAAGCTAAAAAAATGAGCTGTATCGCGTGCCCGAACCGGTGCAAGGCCTTGCGAAGACAGCTCATGCTCCGCTTCCCGAAGCGCTCACTGAGCGCGCGGGAAATATGCCACCGATGCCCGCTGTAAGCGTTTTATCTGATCCCCGGGGTCGTAAGCTTTCGTTTGATGTACGAACGTAAGCCACACGAAGGCGAAAAATGATATTTTTACCTTCTTCAGTCGGTTGTCAGCGTTCACAGACCTTCCTCGCCCCAAATCCAGAACAAACAGTCCCGTTTCACGTCAATGACGTCAGACGCACGGGGGGCAGGCCAACAAATGTCACCTACAACTCCTCCCCTCTCTCCTGGGTTAACATCACGCAATAGCTTGTAATCATTTCAGTCAGGAGACAGGTCGGTGTTCACTTTACTAAACGAGTGGGTCTAAATATATAACCGAGTAAAAAGTGCGCGTACACTAAAACCTGTTTTTAGTTAGTAGAAAACAAGCTGACAGCTTAAATGTGCACGGCACGTAGGCCACCGAGCTGACATCTGTTTCCTCTGTAAATACGTTTTCTACAAACTATAGAGAACACAACGGAAGTTAAAAGCATTTCTAAAACTTGACAATTTGTTATACAGCTTATCGACCTACTGCAAATAACCTTTTATTGCCCGATTTGATCTCAGGCCCGTGTGCGCACGGTTGTTGTGCGTAATTAGATGTTTAGATCTTGATGGGAGCGGGGTCTTCCAGATGTAATGCTGTGTGAGTGGCATGAGGGCTCATTCTACTGTTTGGTAAGTGTGAAAGTCATGAAGATGTCAATCCAGCTGAATACTGATGGAGATAATGGCGGTAAATTGTGCTTTTCTGCCTTTTCCTGTGTCCTAGAAGATATTATACCACTCATGTTTATGAAAACTGTTATCAGTGCTTGGGTAGGAGGGAGTAGGTACACCACCTAGTGGTTGGGATGGTGTTAAATTAAAGCACAGTATCAAAACAACCTCTGCAACAGGTTATCAGAATTGTGGTCAACAGTCTGCATCAAAATGTGCAAAATTAGCAGTGAATATGTACACATCACAAATGTGATAAGTCTGGTTGTTAGATGATTTGCTTTTGATACCCTGCTCAGTTTACGTTAAAGGTCTACACATGCAGTCCTTCTCCAATTCAAACTTACTGGCCACTTCATTAAGTATGTTTGTTCACCAGCTTGTTAACACAAATATCTCAACTAACCATATGGCAATATCTCAGTGCATTTGGGCATGTAGACATGGCCAAGACGACCTGCTGAAATCCAGACTTCAGTGACTTTAAACGTGGAATGGTTGTTAATGCTAGATGGGCATTGCTGATGGTCTGGATTTTCCCGCACAGCCATCTCGAGAGTTTACAAAGGATGCTCTGAAACAGAAAATATCCAGCGAGTGGCAGCTCTCTGTGAAAAACTGCCTTGTTGAGGTTAGATGTTTACGGCATGTGCAGAAGAGCATCTCTGAATGTGTAACATGTTAAATGTTGAACTACACTAGCAGCACTAACTTGTACACATCTTTCTTGTGTAAATGTAAATGCCTGTGTTATTATGTATTACACACAACGGAGAGATCGCAAACTGTGTTTCATTGTTCTTATAATAAAGACATGTAGAAAAAGAGAGCGATTCTTTTCTATTCAGAAGACCACACCAGATGCAACTCCTGTCAACTAAGAACAGGAAACTGAGGTCAGTTTGCACAGGATAAATCAACAAGACTGGAAAAATATTGTTGGTCTGATGAGCGGATTGCTGCTGTGATATTTCGACAGGCTCGGAGTTTGGTGTAAACCACATGAAAGCACAGATCCATCCTGCCTTCTCTCGATGCTTCAGGAGGCTGGTGGCATTATAGTGTTAGGGTAATTTTTTTTGGCACACTTTCTCAAACATAATAATGAGCTCTCTGTACTCAAATCACCTCAACAGTCACCATATCTCAATCCAATAGAGCACCTTAGGGCTGTGATGTAACAGGAGATTCAGCTGCCATCATCATTATGAATCAAAAATCCACGAGCAGCGTTTCCAGCACCTCGTTGAATCGTTGCCACAAATTAGTAAAGGCACCTTTTAAGCAGCCACTGAGTTAATTTCACTTTTATTTAGGAATTAACACAAAGAAACTGATTTAGTCAACGAGTTTATTTCTTTCCCAGACCGAGATGAAACTAAAACGACTGAAAATATTCCAAATGATATTCAAAATGTTGCACGCTTATTCTACAAACAGTCCCCTCAATCATCTCAGGCAGCCCCACCTGCAGAGTTAAAAAGCCCTCCTCCTAATAGATTTATCCAAAAGCTTGGAAAACAGTCATTCATCAATACTGGGAAAGGCCTGAAAGCCATAACAATGTGTAAACTCTGGACCCCCCCCCCCCCAAAAAAGTACACAATATATCTCAATGTTACAATAGCCGCAATTTCTTAATTCTAAACAACTTACATTTTAACAAAAAGGCACAACAACAACAAAAAAATTTACTTTGACGTTTTCATAAATATGCTCATGTGTCTTCTTGCCAATGTTGAAATGAAAAGTCCAACAATGCCTCTCATGTCTGCACCGAGTACAAAGCTATTCCTGGGAACAGATCAGTTCAGCATTGAGACTGAGGAAGGGTAAACCACACGTCCGGTCTACTCTCATATTTAAAAAGAAGTCTACCCCTAACTTTGTATGCATGCAGAAGACAAGAGTTACTATTTTTGACATTTGCTTTCATGTAAATCTCTGCAAGAAAGTGAAGAAGAAGAGCAGTAGACAAAATGTGCAACTGCTTTTTATCAAACTCAAACAACAAGCTCAGACTGACAGTGAAACATGACGGGAGCAGGTATATGTAATCCACAATACATGTGGCAGTCAAACTGGACAGTACAGGTCATAGACTGGTCCAAACAGATGTTCAGATGGAAAGGTTACTCTCTCACTCTCTCTCTCTCACACAGTGCAGAAATCATTCATGATCATTGGCATCTTCCTCTTCGTGCACTGCTGCCTCCAATCCTTCATCTCCAAAGTCACCGTGTAATCCCTCTTCACCAATCTCATCATGAACCACATATCCCTCATCCTCTTCCTCCCCAATTTCAAAACCTTCCTCTTCATCCTGGTTCTCCTCATTCTTGTTCCCCTGCTCCTCCTCCATCTTTTGCTCCTCCTCCATCTTTTCCTCCCCCTCTTCTTCCGTGCCTGCTGCTGCTACTGCTGCTGCTTCTTCTGATGCTGCTGCTTCTTCTGATGCTGCTGCTTCTTCTGATGCTGCTGCTGCTGCTTCTGATGCTGCTGCTGCTTCAGCAGTCTCTCCTGCTTCTCCTTCGACCACCTCTTTGCTAATCTCCCCCTCAGGAGCAGGCTCATCTTTGGCAGGTTCTCCTTCCGCCTGGCTCTCTGCCGCTTCGCCTGTGACCAACTCCGATACGTCCATTGCCATGCTGTCTTCTGGATCCTGTTCATCTTGGTTACCAGTGAACGGGTTCTCACCCTGACGAAATAAAAAGAATTGAGAAAAATAATGACATTTTGACCCACTGCACTCATGGTCAGTTATGCATGTTTGCATCAGACAGTTTCTGCACGCTACAACCCATACAGCTGATGCAAACCTCCAAAGTGTTATGTTATTAATCAGATTTTTTCCAAGTATAAGTTCCCTTTTTTCTTAACAGTGCATTTACTGACACGACTGGTCTTTTGTTCTTTGTGTTTACAAATAAATAAATAAATATATACATACAAGTAGTTGGTGCATATTTATAATCACATTTATTTCTGATGCAAGCCCACACAGGACTCTGTGCATACCTTGAGGTAGCTCTCCAGCTTCTTGCCAATGAGTTTGTGGTTAAGGATGCTTCGAGCAACCGACAGACTGGCCCGCTTGGACTGCTCCATCATACCCTTCAAATAAACAACATTTCCATGTCAGAACAAAACATCGTAAACAATAGCCTCAGCTCTGTGGCACCATTTATAAAATTAGTGCAGGACTTCGCAGAGTTACTGCATTTTAAAAAAAAAAAAAAAAAAAAAAAGGGCACTGCACAAACGGAGTGGATGGGACAAACTGTTACCCCATCGTCTGACAGTCTGAAGTTGTAAATGTTTTCTGATAAGGCAGAATCAATATTAGCCAACCTCTGGCCTTCAGTGCTTCAGTGAAAAGGTCAGCAGCAATGTCTCTACAGAAATCAGGACCCAGTTTCACACAGCCTACAAACATTGCTGTGTAAGCAGCTTCATATACAAATCATTTTCTTCTACTGTCTACATCTGCCAATTAAATGAAACATTCTGCAGAATGACAGGACGGTGTAGTTGGAAGAAAACAGTTACTACATGAAACTGGTCACAACAACATTTGTGACTTTCTCAATGATGCTGAAATTATTATTATTTTTGGATGCACTGCGTGCTATTTAGATCCATTTATACGGCCGATATCTCCAGAACCAGACAAGCCACACCAAAATAATAACGATGATACCCGAAGGACGGCGATAAAAATAAAAGGGCACTGATTTGAATGTAGTATTGTACTTTTAAACATATAGGCTTGTGGGGCAGTCCATTTGCAGAAGACCTGCTGTACCTTGCGGTTGTAGTTGTGGTCAGGAGACTTGATGTGTTTCTGTATCAGGTGGGGCTGCATGGGAATGAAAAGGTCACATGCTGCACAGTGAGCAGCTTCCACCTTCCTCATAAAGTGCTCCATTCCAAGCTCTGTACAAGCGTGAGAGAAATATCTGTAGTGAGCAATCTATGCGCATCTTCAGTTCAACACACAGCAGGAGTTTCTGCTTACCCCTGGTGAGGTCCTGCTCTTTGTACACCTGGCAGATTGCAGCACTGTGGTTCTCCAGCTGGCTCACCCTCTCCTCTGTCTTCTTAAACTTATTCTGCAAATACTCCTACAAACGAAAGGTTTTTTTTCAGTTTACAGTTCATCAAACGTTTACCTCGCCCAATATCTTTACTCTTGCATACATGTATAAATCACGCGTCGGCTCTGGAAGATCACTGCATAAATATTTCAGCAGATTCAACCAGAAGTGTTTTTCCATTTAACCACACTCCAAATTGTTTTAGTATATTTACAACAAGCACTTGTTGCACTGTAACATTTCTAAAAGCCTATGATTGGCAAGTTTCTTCAGTTTCGGTTCTTCATTAATCATAAATATGACTTCCAATAAATTTGAGTTACCTGCAAAAAGTCTGTAGTGGGCTTGGACAACTGGCTGGAAAGGAACTTAAAGTGGTCCTTGTGGAAGCGACTCTCAAGATGAGCCTCCATTTCTTCCTTGTAGAACGAACGGAACTTGCACACAGAACATGCAAACATCACCCTGGAAAAATATTTAAAGTCTTAGTGAAAAAAGCCCATCAGAAAGAGCCACAGGTGAGATTGAAAACAAAAACAGCAAATGAGAGTTGAAAGAACTTTCTAGGAGTTTGTAAATTCACCTTTCCAGGAATCCTCGTCTCTTCCTCATTTTTGGGTGTCTGTCCTGACCCTGGGCCGGTGTCTGTTTGCCCTGTGGCTTTTTCTTCTCTTCCAGTTTGGATGCAGCTAATCAGGAGCAAGAGTGCAGAAGACACGTATAGGAACAACCCCAATCAAAAACAAACAAACAAACAAACAAAAAAACAAACAAAAAACCCCCCACAAAAAAACAAAACCCCAAAACAAACAAAAACAGAGACAGTGTAAATTGTAAATAAATTATTTAACTGTATAGAAATAATTAAAGAAATAATGAAACACAATATCAAAAGATTCAGAGAATCTGGAGAAACCTCTATACGCAAAGAAAAAACCCAAAAACTAATGCTGGGTTTCCACAATATTCAGTTAACTCAAACTAATAATTAAAAAAAAAAAAAAAAAAAAAAAAAAAAATCAGTGAGGAGTCACTGGAGTTAAGCTTACCTTTATCACCTTCTTCAGCAGGTTTTGTCTCCTGCAAAGAAAAATATTCATTACTCAAAGAAATTAAAAAAAAAAAAAAAAAAAAAAAGTCAAAAATAGCTCCATCATCTGAACTTAACAGATGTGTATTGCTGGATGTAGTCATGCTGTCATAAATATTTGCAACACATATTCAACTCAAATCTGTGACATTGTTTGATCATGAAGGAAAAAAAGAACATCGCATTTAGCCTTTTTGTCTGTTTTGTAAAACCTCCTCATCCTCATTTACATTTAAATTATTATTTCCATCTGAAACTGTACACCGGTTGCTTAAAGCAATTTCCTGGGACAAGTTAATTAGATCCTAAAGTAATACAATAAACCTTTAAAATGCCACTGTTGACAAAAGGCTGATCCACTAACCGCAGCAGCTGTTGTCTTTGGCTCACCACCATCGCCGTTTTTCTCTGGTTGCTCTAAGAACACGGAGCACACACATAAGACCAAGAAAGACACCAAAATATCTGCCAAGTAATGAGGTCTTTTGAGAATAGCACACAGTCGACAAAAACAGTACCTTGCGTAGCCTCTGACTCGGCACTGTCCGTCTTGTTCATCTTCGACTCTGGCTCATCACCTGATGTCGGGGTCTGCTTTCTTTTCTTCTGAATATCCCGCTGTGGCTTCACCTGCTACAGTACACAGAAATCAGTTTGCACACAAATGCATTTAGTGATAATAAAAATAAATACAAACCTGGACAATACACCTTCAACTTAGAATTAAACACTAATAGATGCTAGACTTAATGTTTGGCAATGTTCATATTCTCCTCGTGGCATTTCCACATCAATAGTGTTAGCCTCATCTTAAGACAAGCCAGAATTGGGGCAAAGGAAAGAAAAGGGAAAAATCTATCTAAGCTACTTAATGAAAAAAAAAAAAAAAATCAACATCCGGACAGTTATCAGGGCAATGAATTGTGTGGGGAGATGTGGGATTTGTCGTTACTGTGGATGCAGGGCAGTTACTTTCTTCTGGAACTAGAAGGGCAAGTGATACTGTAAATATGTGTTGGGCACTATCTGTGACAAACTGCTTTAGGTAGCAAATAGCAGGCACAGGCAGTTTAGCAAGACTTGCCAGTTGACTGAGAATACAAAAGGAGGGAATTAGAAAGGGCTTAACTTTTTCCAGGTATCTGAGGAGGTCTTATTTGGCTGGAGGTACTTACTTTGTTAAGGGGTCTCTTGCGGCCTCGCTGCCGGCCAGCCCGTGGGCCCCCTCCAAAATGCCTCCCAGGAAAGTCGTGAGGCCCTTGAGTAGAACCCTGGAAGCCCCCACTCTCAGGGTACATGCGGTTGGACAGGAGGGAAGGGAGCTTTCCTCTACCACCTCCTGGAGAGTGGCCACGGTGGGACTGGCCACCGCTACCACTTCCCCGCAAACCTCCGCTTAATGGAGTGGGGTCTGACCTGCGGTTTCCAAACCCTCCAGTAGCTCCTCGACCCCCGGCGCTTCCACCCCTTCTGGGGGAACGTCGGCCTGCTCCAGCCCATCCTCCACCTCCAGAACCTCCTCCTTGGGGACTGGTGAAGGACTCCCTCATATTCTGTCGCATTTTAGCGACTCCATAGGAAGAGGAGGGGCTGTCAAAGCCTCCTCCTCCTCCTAGCCCAAGTCCCCCTCCGAAGCCCTGGCCTCCTCGCTGACTCAACAGCATGCTGTCCTCCCGGCCATCACCAAAACCATAGCTACCGCCGCCAGATCTGTAGAGATCTCGGGAGGAGGCAAAAGCGGAGGAGCGCGAGTCGAATGACTCGTACTGGTCAAACCTGCAGGAGGGAGGAAGAGGGTTGGTAGAGAAGAGCAGAGAGCAAGGGAGGCAGAGGGGCAGCCAGGTTTGGATTTCTCCACCTGCTATTCCTTCTCCTCTGTGGTCTCGCTTTCTCCATGTTTTCTTGTCACTCCCAGCTTCATTTCAGAAAACAAATTAGATCAAAAATTAATGATCCACAACAACTTAAACACTGTGCTTGTGGTACATTGAAAGGTTATTCCTCTTGTTTTTAAAATCTCAAGTCTACTGCAGATTAGGGAAATGCAGTTAATTTTTTAAGCCTCCCTCCTTTTTAAAGGATGGGCTGTAAAACCCTGAACAGACATGAACATGGTCCATCAGAATCCACAAGAAGTAAAGTGTCCTGGGAACTGACTCAATTACAATAAATACTGATGAAAAGGGGTTTATATACAAAAAAAACAAAACATATATACTGGGCATTTTTCAAGGGGAGATTGTGTTTCTGTAAATACATTGAGCATCCTTCAATAAACATTTCAGCTTAACAAGGCATTATCAGGGCACCTGTAAACCCATCTCTCTTCAGTAACCTAAAGCCAGAAGACAGGGTTAGGTCACACAGAGGATGAGAGAAACAACGTGTGTAAACACAAACACAAAGCCGGGACAAAAGCAATGCTCAGAGTTTTAAATAAAGATGGATTGGCTTTATATGCAACAATGTCAGTTTGTAACAAATGGAAAAGCTGGTCTGTAACTGCACCTCCAACAGGGGACCATGCATTTCACAATGTCTTTGGTTTAAAGGATCACATCATCATTTTCTTCTCAATAAATGAGGGATACTGCAGCATAGCAAATGGGAGCAAACAATGCATCCTCAGATGCCGAGGCATTCAAATGCAGCCTGGACGATACGATCTTCTCATCAAGCGGGAATTGAGGCAACTTGTTTCCAACAAGGATTGAGTGCAACAGTAATGCCGTAACAAAGACTAAAACAGCACAATTTACTGGTGCAACCTCAACAATTTCCAAAGGATATCAACTCTCCAAGTCTCTGCAAACAGTGGTATACCTTTGTTTGTTTTACCCCCAACCACTGTGAATAACTGTTCTTCAGAATCAGTGGAGAATCGCAAGCTAGGAGGGCAGCCAGGTGTGAATTGGTCCTAATGCTGGACTTTAAAATTAGAACGGCTATTAGAAGGCCTAAGCATTTACTGAGACAACTGTAGAACAAAGTGGTAACTTGACATCAGCCAGACATGACGTGACACTAAGAGACGATGCGCTCAAGCAACCAGAGGGCCAAATTTGTTATGCAAATTTGGCACATATTCAGGTGCATGGATGTGTGGGAATGATACCCTACTAAGAAAGATGGTATGAAGCATAAAAAGGAAAGTACTGTTACCTGTCACTCCGACCCCCTTTAAACCCCCCCTCCAACTGAGTGAGCATGTCCAAGCGCTGGTTAATCTTAGCAATGACTGCATCTGCATGGGTGCCCGTCGATGAGAGCAGAGATGCTCCCGAGAGCCCTCTTTTCATGTGGCTGCTGCCACCTCCATAGCCTCCGAGTCCAGACATGGAATCCTTATAACCTCCCCCGTGCATATCGAAACCACCAGAACCTAGTAAAGGGGGTGGGGCAAAAAGAATAACACACTCCCTGTGAGGAAACAAATTAATTAAACAGAATAAACATGCACTACTTACTTGCTTCATGAATAGCAGTAATTCAGGGCTGAGTGTACCAACTTACCTCTGCTTCCAGAACCGCCACCTCCCCAACTGGAGTAACCTACAAAAAGAGAGAATATGGACTGATAATACAAACGCACTGGGAATTTTATACTAACAGGTCCACAAGCATGTGCGGATTTATTACAAGGAGCTGTTCAATAGCGCAAATCGTTCAAAAGCATAGGAAGGTGGAATCCACTGCTATAACTATAACCATTTGACAATTGATTTGCAAGCTTTCTGTCTTAATAGAGTTGTGCAGTTCAGAAAGGAACAGCAATTAAATCCAAAGACTAAGAGGCATCTTCTCAGAGGCGGCCATTTTATCAGCTAGCCTTTAAACTATTCCGACATTGACTCCATTTTAAAAGAATAAGCTAACGAACTTTGGCAGAGCAAGTGACAAACCGCCCAAGGCCCATAAAGCCGTCTGCGTTAGCATCGCTAGCAAACAATCTGCCCGACAGCGAGATGGGCCGCGTAGCTAGCAGTGTTTCATTAATCGTGGCCGATGGGCCTAGCGTAACGCTGACGATTTTTTTTTAATTTTCGCTAAAACAAACCTACTGGTACTTGTCAGATTTTGTAATAACTGGTAAGAAAATACAACACGACTACTGTTTAGCTAGGTATTTGTTTCAGGCTGCAACCGGCTAAAGGCTGGCTCTTATGCTGGGGAGGTTTTTTTTGGTTGTTTTTTTTTTAAACGGCATTAGCTTAGCTAACGGCTAACAAACTGGTCATGTTTCAGGGGAACAAAGCATGTGGCTAACTGGGTAACTATCAATATCTATAGCCAAATGTGAAACAAAAGCTAAACAGATTATATTTACCAGAGCCGTAACCCCTGCCTTCCATGATATTTTGTGCGCTGTTTGGACGAAACAAGCAACACGAGCGGCTACAGATCCAAGAAAAGAGTAGCTGCTTGTAGCAAAATGTATCGAGCAAAGTCCGACACGTCAAAACCACGTGACCGACAAGGCCTCGTTACGTCACTGGTATGCCAATAATAGAATATGAAGGTGAATATATATTAAATATAAAATTGTTTTAAATATCAATAATAGATTTAATGAAGGCAAGAAGAATGTCACCACCGTATCCTGGTCTTGACCAAAGGCTACATGTGTAGTGTAACGCCCATAAATGTAGAGATTAATATTGAATAATCAATCTATCAGTCAATCAAAGACTCAGTGTACTATATACAGAGGTATACAGTTTGCCCTGAATTGAAACATCTTAACTATGTACATACACAAAATATGTTAAACAGAGTATTTGCTTCTGTAAATATAAATATTGCCAGTAAATCTTCATCAGCTGTCATTTGAGGTGCACAATAAAATGTCTAATATATGTATATGTGTATATCTTCCGACAGAAGACGAGACTGTTATCACACACATTTAAGATTAGGAAATCTTAAATATTTCATCTCTTCAAAGCACAAAGACCAGTGTTAAATTGACTCCCACAGAATCATTTTCAACACTTTTTCAGGGTTTACATAGTCCACACTCTTTAGAATTAAATCCACATTTTTAAAATAGTTAAAATATTTAACACTGTGCCAGACTTCATGTTTTAACTCTCAAAACAGAGTTAAAATAACACTTTAGAGACTGAATAAGTGACTCTGCTGAGATACAATTTTTAACCTTCTGTCTTCTATCTATTGTTGAAAGTTATCAAAAAGTAGATCAATTTTTCTTTTCACAAGAAGAAAAAACTCTATAGGATTATTAGTTCAGGATGAACATACAAACAAAAACAGATGGTTTGTTTGACTTGATATTATATTCTAAGAGCAAAACTAGAAAAGTGGACAAAGATTTAATTAGTCTTAATTGTATGAATTTAAATGTTAAAAAACACAGAAACAAATGAATATGTGCCCCTGAATGCAGCTTTAACCCTTAATATATATATATATATAAAAATACAACTCACTTGTAGAATCGTCTTGATGATTTTCTGGATGACCTTCTGCTGACAACACCAAAGGAAGCAACTCTGGTGTTGAAGTGAGCTTCTTAGCCTCTTTTATGACATTTGCCCTGAAGAATGTATTCCATTTCTGAAGCAACCTGGAGGATGTGTCGTCATCGAACAGGAGAGTGAAGTCTTGCTCCACCTTTAAGAAAGAAAATTGTATTTGAAACAACTGGTAGCTCCAAATTCCAAACCATTTCAAAAAATGAATTCTAACTTACCAGTCCTTTTGTATGTAGGAAGCTTCTGCTTGGATCATTAACAAGCCTCTGACGGTGCTGAAAGGTCTCCTTCATCTTCTGTAAAATCACAGAGTTGTTTGAGCAAAGACATGGTCTCCTTGCAAGCATCCCCATCAAGCTGGTGTATAACATTCACAGTCCTTTGGAGATTTGGGCCACCAAAAGAACTGTCTGTCACCCTATTAGATGGTGTTGGAGATTCACAACGAATCTTTCTTTGGACAGTTTTCATACGCCAAGAAATGTATCCTGCACCCCTTGCTGCTCCTGGATAAGTGAAAACACAACATATTTTGTCAGATTTAGCTCATAACAAAATATCAGATAATTTTTATGTCCATCATTAAATAATTTTGTGTTGTATAAATATTGACTTTTACATAGGCTTTGTCTACATATGGATCCTTGAGCGAGGGGATCGGCATCACAATGCCCAAAGCATACTCCTCTCTGATTGCTTTTGGGGGAAGGTGCCCGAGAGGAGATTTTCAGTTTTTTAAAGTTAGACAATTAATATGCAATTATTTGGCACAAGTATAAAGAATACAACATACACTGAATACATACCCATGATTATCAATCATGTGAGCCACAAGTATGTTAACCATTTGTCATCTTGTGGCGTCCTTCATGGTGTTTGTTGCTTGGTATTCCTGTATTACTTTGTCACCACCAGACTTGCTTCTTAAGACAGTTTCAATTAACTCTTAAAAATGAAAAACAAACAAAAAAGAGAAAAATGAACATTGAGAAAAACCTGGCAATAAGGAATCTTTCTAGAAACTTGAGAGGAAAAAAACAAAGCACAAGTGTGAAGCTTTGTAGCAGCCTGTTTACTGTAGCAGTATTGTTAATTCTTTGTCTCTTGCATGAGACCTCATCTAAGATTATAGTTGAGGCACATGAGCTGAAGCTTGAGTTGGAGTCAGACAACTCAGAAGCAGAAGACAGGTGCGAAAATACTAAAGAAAAAGAAAACATCAAATAATTTGTTCAATTGAATGTAAAGTGCTCGATTATACTTTTTAGTGTGTAGCCTCACCATCATCGGAGAACACTGTTAACAGCACGTTGCCTTGTCCAACAAGGTCACTGCATCAACCTCTGTCCTTGTTGCATCCTTGTAAGTAATGTTTGCACCAGGTAGCAGGCAAAATCTCTCGATGACTGTGAAAAATGGTACAAAGAAACTCATTGTGCTTCTGGTGTTAGCACTGCTTCTTACTTGTGTCTTGTTGTATATGGTGCTTAACAATTTGTTAATACGAACAACACCTTTGCTAAAAACACAAATCTGAATCTACATCAATGTAAGAAGCTCCTACAATATGTATTAAAATATTATTGTGAACATATTCTTTATCCAAGATAAAGTAGCAATAACCTACACAGCTTTTACATTAAATTGCAGAAAGTCGTGTCCTTCATCATTATTTAGCTTCACATACTTTAGTTGTTGATTATACTTAACCTGGACCAACATTTTTCTGAAAAATGCAAGACTGAAATTTTAAGAGGACAAAATAAAATCAGAATCAGAATCAGAATACTTTATTGATCCCTGGGGGAAATTATTTTTTGTTACAGTGCTCCATTTTAAACCAACATTAAGACAAGACAGACAATACGCTAACTAAGAATAGTACAATATATACATATATATACATACATACATACATAAGTCACTTATAAATAAATAGTTGGAAAAGAAACATGTGTAGTTGTAGCAGCAAACAGTGTGTTAAGTGGATGCGTTGTACAGGGAGATGGCCACAGGCAGGAATGATTTCCTGTGTCGTTCAGTGGTGCTTTTCGGTAATCTCAGTCTCTCACTGAACGAGCTCCTGTGACTGACCAACATGTCATGGAGTGGGTGGGAGGTGTTATCCAACATTGTCTTTATCTTGGACAGCATCCGCCTCTCCGACACCACCTTGAGGGAGTCCAGCTCCATCCCCACAACATTGCTGGCCTTACGGATCAGTTTATTAAGTCTGTTGGCATCTGCGACCCGAAACCTACCCCGAGTCAGTCACGCACTATATAAAACAGTGCATGTTTGAAGACTTTTTCTGTAGTTCTTTTGATGTTAAACTACATGTCAGAAATTCCACAAAAAAATCAAACAATAGAGGGGCACTAATGCCAGCCTGAGCAGTTTACTTGGGGTTTCTTTCATCACTAACAGCTTGAATGTGATCTGTAACACTGATATAGTTAGAGGCTATTAACAGTTTGCATTAACGCTTTGTTGCTAGCGACAAAAGCTAGCATATTTTCTTCATTTAAATTGTTTAAATGCACAAAATACATTTTATAGCACCAGTTTCTAACTATCTTACTAAGTCTGACATAATTCTGCTTACCCTGTAGTTCTACAGTACTGTTCTGCCCGCACTGGGGGTGTCTGGGAGGGCTGGGCTTAACTCCAGTTCAAAATGAACTATACAGAATTAAAGCTATTAAGTTAACTAATCACAGAGTTAACATTTTTAACCAACCTCTGTGCAGAGTTACAGTATTTAGAATTTTCTCTTTTAAGAGTTAAATCAACACTGATGGAATACATTTTGTCAAATAACTCCAACACAGAGTACAATTTAAACCAGAAAGTGTTTAAATCACACTTTGAGGGTTAAAATCAACTCTGAGACATTTACTCCAGCACATTTTAACTCTCCAGTTTTTGCTGTGTTTGATTCCACATATCATCACAGCACTTTAAAAGGCATTCTACTGAGAACTTTGTTTTAACGTTACACTGAAGGGGAGATCATGTCGTCATAAAGTATTTCTCATCACATCATCATCATCGTCATGATTTTCGTTGCAGTTCGGGGCGTATCTGCTATCGGATTGTGCGTTTTGCCAGTGAATTGTAAATTAAGATTTGTCCTCTAAGAGAAGGCAAGAAAGCTGTCATTAAAACCTGCATCCAAAGTCTAGTAAGAAAATCTCCATAAATAATAAAAAGAACTTTTTGATTTTTATTATTTGCACAAAAATCCTTTAAAAACAGCCAAGTTAAGATGCCATACAGAAGCCATACAGAGGCTGGGAAACAGTCCTAATTAAAGATGGTCAAACTCAAGTCAAAACAAACAAGGTTAATAAACTAAAAATGATAAACATGGCAATTAAAACATGAAAAATGAAACCTGAAAAGGATTTAATCACAACATGCAAAAATGGCTATTTATTTTCTAACAGCATCACTAATGTGTGAAAGTTGGCATCACAGGAAAAGCTAGTTACACTGAATTCACCACCACCACTGCATGATATAAAGCAGGAAGATGATAAAGTTATCTGTCATTTCTGTGACCTACGGGGCTCTTAAATACAAAACAAGCTCAACATATGTCACACATGTTAAGGTTAACATGTGTGTGTTCACATGAAAGGGGTGGTGCTGGCAGCATTTCACCAATAAAGATTATGGATTAAGTGTACTAACAGCAGAACAGCTGATTTCATACAACAACATTAAAAAATACATTATGGGAAAAATACAAAGAGGTTAAATACAAATTACAGACTCAAAGTAACACAGCTTTTGCAGAGCAATACGACTGGACAAAAATCAGCTATATTAATACAGTTTAGCTCATTTGAAGCCAGATACAGATACAGATTGTCAGTATCACAGCTCTGTTATTAAGAAACGAGGGAACTGGATGAATTATTATCACCTATTTAATTAAATTGTTATAAATAAATTGTTATTATTTATTTTAGTATTTATTCAATCAGCTGCAGCAACAGTGGTGCTTAACTGTCTGAGAGCACGTAAAGAATGACTATAAAACTATTCAAATGTAGGATTAGTCTACTTGCAAATTTGATATATCAGGAAGTACAAATAGGTGTTCCTTATTGGGATCGCATATCCATGCTTATAGAACAGTAAAATAGTTGTAAACTTATTTGGAGTCGACAGGAAAAAGTAACAAATAATGCTGTGGCCAAGAAACTATATTTGTTACTGGAGCTCACTGGGGAAACACAAAGATATTAGACACTGTTGAAAAACTGCCCAGGGGTACCAGGGCAGTGATTTGATACCTACAGGTTTCTAAGTTACCATGGTAATGTACCCCAATAAAAAGTGAAAACTGGTACAAAAAAGCAAGGGTCAAAGCTAAAGATGGCCTGGATAAGAAGAAATCCTGCTTTGGAGTACAGGCCTCAAGTTTGACATACTCTAAGTTTGCAGGGCTGTTTGTCTCTTTGCACATGCAGGATCATATTTTGCCAGCATGAATCTAAATGAATAAGATCAATTGTATTCAGATTATACTCTGCACACGAGAGGAAGAGGAAGTCTACAAGCTACCCAACCAGATGTTGCACAGTGTCTTCTTGCTTCTCTGCTGGTTTTCACTGTGCAGCAGGGTTCAGTTCAACACTCTCATACAGCTGGTCCATCTGAAAGGAGGACATGCAGATGACTGTGGGCACACTTTCATAAACAGTAATTTCAGAGTTTGACATATCTCATTACTTGTCCAGGTTGTTCCCTGTCACTTTTCTCAGCAGTGGCAGTCACAGTTTTCTTCTTCCTACATTTGTAATATATCAAACTCAAATTTTTCTTATATGAAAGAAAAGAGTTTTGAAGACAGAAGATATGACACAAAATCTGAAGTGAAGTAGTTTACCTTGTTTTCATGTAGAGTAGAAATACAACTGCAGGGATCAGCGATAAAAGAGTCATTTTCAATACGTTCAGCCTTGCTACGGTTTTCTCTAGAGCTGTAGAGATTGATGTAAGATGTAAGTAAACATTGTAGTAAAATATTTCAGAATAGTATAAAATTAACGGCCAGACTGCTATTTTGTTGGTTTGGTCCAGAAAAAAGTTGAAGTTTCTGCCTGCTGCTATCACTTAGCCTGCATTTCTCCATTCACCAAATGTAAAGGGAGTCAGAAAGTGAGCAGGATCTTTAACATTATGTCCTTCTTACCTTTGACAGTGAGAGCCTTCTCAGTTGAGCTAATGTTCTGAGGACTATTCACAGCACAGGAATAGTTCCCTTCATTCTCCTTGCTGACTGGGTCCAGGATCAGATGTTTAGTTTGGTGGCCGACTGGTCGACTGTCGAAGTACCAAATGTAGTTTGTGTCGTCAGTCAGAGGACAGCTGGTGCTGCAGGTCAGTGTGACTCTCTGACCCTCTGTCACCATTGCAGAAGGACTCACGCTCACTTTCACACCTCAAAGATAGTTCGATTGGATAGAAAACAAAACAAAACAAAAAAAACAAAACAGAAGAGTTTTTGTGCCTTTTGACAAAACTGACGTGTGATTATCAATTATATCTGACATACAGTTAGGTCCATAAATATTTGAACGAGACCATTTTTTTCCTATTTTTGGTTCTGTACATTACCACAACGAAATTTAAATGAAACAACTCAGATACAGTTGAAATGAAGACCTTCAGCTTTAATTCAGTGGGTGGAACAATGCATTTTTAACACAATCCCTTCACTTTAGGGGCATTTCAGTAACTGAACAAATTAAATAACTGAAAATAAAATGTTTATTTCTAATACTTGGTTGAAAACCCTTTGCAGGCAATGACAGCTTGAACTTGTAGACGTCACCAGATGATGAGTCAAATGTCCAATTACTTTTAGTCTCTTTAAAAAAAGAGGGTGGCCCATGATAAGGAGCTGAAACTCCTAAACCTTTCATCCAGTTTGATTGTAGAAACCCTCAAATGAAAGCTGAGGGTCTACACACTACGCCCATGTCCATGATGTAACTATAATTGGAATACGTTTCAGTAAACGGGTAAAAAAAACAAAAATAAAAAAAACTTGTGTCAGTGTCCAAATATATATGGACCTAACTGTAAGGGTGGTTGTATCTCAAATGAACACGGGCCTTCTGCTTGACTGTCTCCAATTAGCATAAAAATTTTATGGTACAAATTCTGAACATCCAAAATGATTGCTTTCAAATTTTAGCTTCACATCTGAAAGAATAATGATAATGATATCAGGTAATTTGCTGTTATGTTTCTTTAAATCAAATCCTGTATGAAACACATTTTGTGGACCATCAATATGATATAAAAACATGCACTTCACTAAACACTGCAGGTGATTCTGTATTAAATCAATTAAACTTACCTGTGACAACTAACATCACTCTAGGTAAATGACAGAGATTAATATGTTTCTCAAGTCTGAATGAGTATTCAGCCGAGTCATTCCTCTTCACATCATTAATTCTCAGTGTGTGGTTGTCTTTCATGTTGTCGTGATGCTTCACACGGCCCGTAGCTTCGTCAAATACCTCCTTACAGTCATCCTCCTCACCACCAAGCTGTACTTTATACCACGATCCATACTTCGAGATGGAATGGCTCGAGTATTGACTTGCAATGTTCACAGAGGAACCTTCCAGGGCACAGATTCTCCTGCTGACGTAATTTACAGCCTTGCAGTTTGCATTGTCGATGCCTAAAACAGAGTTTAAACACATGAAATTTTACTTCTGCTTCAACCTGCCTGTTGTTTGTTTCGTACGTATGTTTGGCTCATACACGTACTCACAGGATTCACGAGAGAGCACATCTTCATTGCTTTTTAAGGCGCAGGAGAAGAAGGCTGCTTTGGGTTTCAAAATGGTAATGTCTTGATGCTCGCATTCATTGTATAACTTTCTGTTCCAGTACCACTTATATGCAGTGTGAGCATCAGCCACAGGGCAGCTGGTGTTACAGGTCAGAATGACAAAGCTCCTGACAGGAGTTATTTGAACGTGCAAATCTGTTGGAAGAAAATAAATACTTTTTTTTTTGCTACGACCTGTGATATGTTTTGGGGAGAATGGTTTGTTTGCATGTGGAAACCTGTCGGATATGTGATGGAGCAGAACTGGTCCTTTGATTTCAGCTTCTCGGAACACATGCTGCTTTCAGTATAAGTCACACTGAAACAGGTTTTAGTTACAGAATCTGCACAAAAAGAGATGAAAATTAGTATTTTAACTTTAGAATTTGTTAATGGCTTGCCAGGATTTTGTAGCTTTTAACACTTTGGGGTTGTTTTTGGAACGTTACTCACCCACAGAGACTTGAGGGGCTCTGAGATGCTCGTAGCCTTTGACAGCACAGGAGTATGTGACTGCTTCCTCACTGCTGAGCAGCTCTTGGTACCAGGGAGACCAGTCCTCATAGAGAAACTCTCTGTTCTTGTACCAGATGTAGGCTGCAGGCTTTTCAGTCAGAGGACAGCTGCTGCTGCACATCAGTGTTACTGTCTGTCCCTCTGTGGCAGGAATCACCTTTACCTGCAGCTCTGAGAGGATGATGGATAAAATAAGTGCGCATAAACTGAAGTGAGCAGTAATTTATGAATGGTAGCAGCTCTACCTGAAACACGGAGCTCAGTTTGGTTGTTCAAGCAGAATTGTGGGTTCTCTGTAGTTTCTTTGCAGCAGTAAAACTTTGCATCTATTTCTCTCAAAACTTTGATTGTCAGAGTAAAGTTATTGTCTTTAGCCATGCTGTATGTTCCATTGTCTCCATCCACAGAGAGCTCTGTCAGGACATATTTGGAGCCATTTGTGTGTACAGTGTACCAGCTTATGTTTGAGGTGGCATGTTGAGCAGAGCATGGCAGATCCACTGATGAACCTTTTAAAGCACAGATTCTGCTTTGTAGCCCTATAACCGCTTTAACAGAAGGAGAAGGACTTCATTTGAATACTGGATGTCAGATAACGTGTGTGGGTATGCAAAGTTTTGCTCTACCATTAAACATGTTTGTTTAAATCAGTGTATTTATGATTTCTACACCATTTTGACCACACAGGTGAGCAAAGGTGTTAAAAGTTGTTTAGATCGTTACTGCAAATATCTCATTAGCCGGTCACATGGTAGCTGCTCATTGCATTTAGGCATATACACATGGTCAAGACAACCTGCTGAGGAAAAGTGATTTAAGTTACTGATGGTTGTTGGTGCCACATTGCTTGTTTATTGGGATATTCGCACACAACTTTCTTAGAGAAAGTATGCCCGACAATGAGAAACTATCCAGCACTCAGAGAGAAAATGCTATAGTAATGATAGAGGCCACAGGTGAGATGCAGAAGGCAACAGTAACTCAAATCTATAGGAAAGGTTCTGAAGAAAAAAGAGGTGTTGCTAATAAAGTCTATATCAATGCTCTGTGTCTAATCAGAAGATAATCCTCATTAATGTTGTCAGTAAAACCAATCTTACTAAAAACATCACTCCTATTTCATGTGAAATATCTAGCTCTAAAGTTTATAGATACAGATCTTTAATAATAATAATAATAATAATAATAATAATAATAATACCTGTTATGTGCAGGAGGAAACACATCACCGTCCACTGAGTCTTTGCAAACAGCATGACTGCAGGAATGCTTCGGTTTCTATATTAACAAGAAAATGTATAAAATAACAGAACTTGTATCTGGTTTTTTAAGATCTCCTACTTTATATCCATAAAAACATAAAATTTTACTCACATGTTGAAATTAAGAGCAGTGTCTCAGCAAAGGCAAGTTTTCATCTTGTTGGGGACGATAAATACATCACACGCAGCCCTGAGATCTAGCTGTAACTTCCTTCCTCTTGAAATGCTTAATCAAAATAATCTTGTTTAATGGTTTTAGTGTTGTGCAAAAGTCTGTCCACCATGTTTTACAGATGTAGATACGTGCTTGTTGTAGGTCTCTGCTGGTTACCTCGGGTACAGAGCTTTGTAGGTCTGCTACTTACTGTTGTGCTCTACTAGTAGAGTTTCTTTATATGCGAAGTGACAGGATTAAGTCATACGTCCGTATTAGGTTGCTTCAGAAATAATAATAAAAAACCAACAACACTCTTATGAAAATGGTCAAGTTTAAGGACTGGAATGAAAAGGAGTGAAAAAGCAGCCAGACCTTCAGAAAGCCTGGAGAACTGTTGTATATAACTGCCTATAGAACACTTTAACACATGAATGTCTGGGTTGGAAACAGAATACATGACTCAAGACTTTTATTATTAGCTGGTCTAGTTTAATACACAGTAAATGCAAATGCTGAAACTACTTAAATAAATGAAGTAATGTAATATTAATTTAAAAAAAACTAAGAAATAGCGTAAGTTCATCTAACATTTTGTTCCATTTCAGTTCATTCAGCTTATTATTTTTGATCAGCTTCATCTACTTTGCATATTAAGTACCTGCTACTTAAAAAAATGTACCAATTTATCTAAATGGTAAATGGCCTGTATTTATATAGCGCTTTTCTAGTCCCTAAGGACCCCAAAGCACTTTACATATCCAGTCATCCACCCATTCACACACTGGTGATGGCAAGCTACATTGTAGCCACAGCTGCCCTGAGATGTACTGACAGAGGCGAGGCTGCCGGACACTGGCGCCACCGGGCCCTCTGACCACCACCAGTAGGCAACGGGTGAAGCGTCTTGCCCAAGGACACAACGACCGAGACTGTCCGAGCCGGGGCTCGAACCGGCAACCTTCCGATTACAAGACGAACCGCCAACTCTTGAGCCACGATCGCCCCGTGGCAGAGATCTTTGTAAGGTTTTAAATTCTGGGATCAATTTGACCCCAAACATTAAATATATTAGTCTTTAGTTTGATACAACAGCTGGATTGATTTAGATTCTGATTTCTTTTTCAAACATTAAACAATAAACATTGTAAACATTAAAAAAAACTTTACTGCAGTGAATTTATTGGGGGCATTTAAAACATCTGCATCAATTGCAAGCTTTAAAAACAGCCAACCGACCTTTTGTTCAGATTTTTTTTTCATATTTTGCCTTTTCTCCTTCCTGCCTTTAGCTCAATCTCCAACATCTTTTCATGTTTAAACACATTAAAGTATCATGACATTTTGCAGAATCCTCTGTTTTACAAGTAGTGTAAACACCTTTCTGATGAAGATTATGATGAAGACGAGAAATCGGAGAGGTGATTTGTCCTAAAATCATCTTGTAATTAGCCGATTCATTTGTGATCACACTGTAAAAACTGTGACTAGAGGTTAC